CGGGACAGAGCTCCCAGCTGCTGCAGAGACAGGGCATGGGCCGGGTGTGGTGCTGGCTGGTGCCTGAGGGGCTCTTGTAGCTAAGTGGGATGTGCCAGGTATTTTCTTTGTTGCTGGCTTTTATTGCCCCAAACGCACCACTTTGCAGCCATAAAAGCCCAAGGGCAGATCATCAGGCATCTCCTGATGCCTCTGGGCCTGGAGCCTCCACGCCTGACCCGGGCAGCCCTGAGTTGCACCGATGTCGGTCGCCCGGTACCCCCAGCTCAGCAGCCTCTATGCTCCCTGCAGGACTCACCAACGTCAGCGATAACCTGGAGGTTTTCCTAAAGCACCAAGGATGGGAGTGGACGTAAGTGTCTGGCCAAACCCGTGGTGGGAGGGAGGGGGCGACGTTCTGGTCCCACCACGGAGAGGCAGCAGCTTGGACCCACATGCATTTCCCTCTGCAGCATCCCTGTCACCAAGCTGACCTTCAAGCTGGGGCTGGTGGCACTATGCTCCTTCCTGGGTGCCTGCCTGACGTTCCCGGGGCTGCGGCTGGCTCAGACCCACCTGGACGCACTCAAGATGGCAGCAGACAGACCCCTGACTCAGTTGCGTGGCCCAGGGTGGCTGGGCTGGGAGGAGGTGGGCAGGGGGCTGCTGCCCTGGTTTCTGAATGCAGCAGTGTTGTGGGGGGGTGTCTTCCTCGCTACCCCCACCCCAGAGATGGCTGCCACATAGCAGCACTAGCCCACTGGCACAGGAGGGGCTGGGCCACCACAGAGCAGTGGGGAGATTTAACTGGGTCACTCAAACATGCAGCTGGAGGGGGTCAGGGTGGGGGCCTTCAGCTGGGAGCAGGGGGTAGGGCTGGGTGGCACTGACCATATGGGCTTTGTCCCTGGAATGCCTCCTCCCTTCCCCAAAATGCCTGGGCATGGGTGGAGGATGGTGGCTTCTGCCTTCAAGGGGGAGAAAGTTTGGAGCTCACAGGACAGAAGGGGGAAGCAGGGCTCTGATGGTCTGGTCCTCCCCTCACCTCCCCCGGCAGGATCCTGCTGCATGCCAGCTTCCTGGCACCGCTGATCGTGATCATCCTGTGGGTCAAGCCCATCTCCCGGGACTTCCTGCTGCACGCGCCCATGGGGAAGCAGACCGTCCAGCTGTGAGTACCTATGCAGGCAGGTCTTTTCCATCTGCACATGCTCCAGCCCTTCATCATGGCTGTGCGCAGCGGCCTCGTCCGTGGTCCCAGGGCTCTGTGATTTCACCCTCCCGCTCCCCTGCAAAGTTGCACCACCAGCCAGTAGCCAAGAAAGCAGAACCCAGGAGTCCTGGTCTTCCCCCTGTGTGACAGCACCCACAGTCCTGACCCCTGACCCTTGGCTCTCAGTAGTCCAGGCTCAGTCTCTGCTCTGCCAGCAGTAGTGTCCCTTCCTCTCTGGAAGCAATAATGGTGCCCACACGAGCCTGCCTGATGTGTCCCTCCCCGTGCAGCCAGCCCCATCTCAGCCATGCCCCTCAAGGGCTGGTCCTGCCCCCAAGAGTGGTTTCTGGCCAGCTGACAGTGTCCTGTCTTCCCGCCCAGCATGTCGGACACAGCCTACAACTCAGCACGGCTCTGGACCATCGTGTGCCTGTGCCTGCTGCGTCTGGCCATGGCCCGGCACCATCTGCAAGCCTACCTCGGCCTGGCTGAGCGCTGGGTGGAGCAGATGAAGCGGGAGGCAGGGCGTATCTCTGTCCTAGAGATCCAGCGCAAGGTATGGGGCAGGGACAGGTGGGCGTGTGGCCTGGACAGGTGGGTCCCACGTGCTTGCCCATCTCCAGACCCGTTGGGAACCACCCAGCCGCCCCGTCTTCTGTTAGGGGAGCACCTCCCTGGGCATTGGATGCAGCATGCAGGGCGGGGAGTGGAGCTTGGCCCCTGCATCCCATCTGTGCTGTAGCTACTAGGCTGTTCCCTGTTGGCCCTGGCCTCTGCCCCAACGTGCTCTCTGCCCCCAGATCACGCGGATCTACTGCTACGTGACTGTGGTGAGCCTGCAGTACCTGGGCCCCATCATCCTCACGCTGCACTGCACTCTGCTCCTCAAGACTCTAGGTAGGGGCTGGAGCCGGAGGGCCCGGGCACTGCCCGCTCAGGCTGGGGGTTTGGCCCGCAGAGTGGAGGGGCTCTAGAACTGCAGGGTTCAGTATGATGCCCACAGACAGAATTTGCAGCAGGCCCCAGGGCTGCATCAACATCCAGGACCTCTTTCTGCTGGTCTGTCGTGGATGCAGTGAGTTTGTCAAGGCTCAGCCTGTGGCTCCGACCCTGGAGGGAAGGAGCTGTGAGCTCCAGCTTGAGTCCAGGACATGCCCAGTGCTGGCGCCCTGCCTATGGGACCAAGGGCTGTGGATGGGCAGCCCACTAGGCTGGGCAGGTGTAAAGGGGGCAGAGAAGGGACCGTGCCCCTGCCAGGACTGGCTGAGGCATGGGCAGCGCAGGCTGGTACCAGGGAGGGGTGCAAGGGGCATGGGCTGAGCCCGACCCTCCCCCCAGCTCATCAGTGATTATTCTGTTCCCTCTGCCTGCAGGAAACTACTCATGGGGCCTGTACCCTGAGCCCCTGCCCGTCTCCCCTGCAGTGGACGCAGCACCGGTCGTGTCCCTCGTGCCCCCAGAGGAGGAGGAGGAGGCCGGGGAGAATGTCCAGGCCACGGTAGAACAGATCACGGGCGCACTGGGAGCCCTGGGCAGTGTCCTCACCCCACTCTTCTACCGCGGCCTCTTTGCCTTCCTCACCTGGTGGGTGGCTGCCTGTCAGGTTATCACCAGCCTCTTCGGGCTCTACTTCCACCAGTACCTGGCGGCCTCCTAACCCGGCTGCAGCAGGGCGGGTGGTTCAGGCAGGCCTGGGGAGACAGCTGGCTGGTGCTGTCTCCCAGTACCTCTGGTCCGAGCCGCCTCTGCTGCCCGCACCCATCTATCACCGTGGTGCCTGCTTAGCCTCAGGGCATCCGTCCTTACGCTCTTCTGTAAAGCCCCACCAGCTGCACGGCCTGGGGACTGAAAAGGCATCTTGCTTTCTGCCCCTCGTATTCCCCTGCACCCTGCCCCATGCCCTGCAGCCATGCCTTAGGCTCCCATCTCATCTGGGAGCACTTCACGCTGGCTTGCCCCAGTGCAAACACTCATGCAAGGAGCAAGGGTGCAGGGTTGGGACTGCAAATTGCCTCAGGGATGCCTAATGCATGGACTGGGAGCCGCAGCCCTGCCTCCAGCAGCTGTTGGATGGCATTTTTTCTGTGTCAGCACTGCCCCCACAGGGGCTGGGGGCTCCTGCCTCTGCTCCCCCTGTGAGGCTACCCTCAGGAGTGTGCGCCTGGCCCCCAAGACAACTGCATATGGGGACCTGGGGGTTGAATAAATGTGTGACTCTGACACGCTGCTGGTTCGAGTCTTGCTTCTTTGTGGTCCCCTACCCACCCTGGCACCTTCCTGTTCTCAGCCGGGCACAGGGCAGGGGGGCAATGGTGTCCTCCCTGTGAGCAGAGCAGCGTTGCTGGGCACTGGCAAAGCTGTTTCATGCCCTAGAGGCAGCTGCGCAAGTGCCGTAGGGAAAAAGTGCAACCCCTTGGCCCAGCCTGCCAGCCGCAGTGGGGGGGAAGGAGGGCAGGGACAGTGGAGGTGTCCTTGAAGCAGGGGTGAGGATGACACTGTACCTCTCCCCCAGCCAGGACCCTGTTCATTGGCTGAATGAGCTGAACCCAAAGCCGAGGTGCCCTTGAGCTGCCCTGTGGCAACAGGGGACTTCAGCCCAGCTGAAAGGTCTAGAGGAGATCTCCACTGTATAGCCTGTTAGCCTAGGGACAGGGCTCCTAGTCCTTTTCCCCAGATGGGATTTGAATTCCGAGCTCTCTGTTTGCAGCCCTGTGCTCTCCCCTCCCTGCTGTGCAAGGGGAGGACAAGGCAGCTCAGGAGCAGGACAGCAGGCCGGCCAGCCTGGCCCAGGGCTCAGTGCCAAAGGCCCCGTGGTGTGGGGAAGGGGCTGAGGAGTCTGCTCCTGCTGCTCAGGCCCAGGAGGCAGGGGCAGTGAGGCAAGGTCCTGGGCAATGAGGCCGGGGACGAATCAAGCTCCTGTCTCTGCTCCTGCTTCATGCACTGACTTTGTGTATGGAGAAGCTGGTGCTTCTGTGCCCTGGAAAAAGTGAGCCAGCAGCAGCCTCTGGTGGCCACTGGTTTAACTTCACACGCAGTGAGAGGCAGCCGGGGCGGTAACCACCTGCACCAGGTGAGGTGGCAAGGTGGTCACCCCATGACCCCACTTTGAGCTTAGCCCCACCACCCTGGCCCAGCTCCGTCTATGCCCCGGTTTCACATCCTGATGAGAGGGGGTGCAGACGGGGGAGCATAGGAGGACCGGGTGTCTGCCCCAGGGGCAGGTTCCCATGTGCACGTAGCAGCAGCCCATGGCTGCTCTGGCCCAAGCAAAGGCTGTGCTGGTTCCTGTCCCGGGGCAGATGCACTGGAAACCCCCTTTGCAAGGCTGCTGGGAGGGTGATGCCCAGGGGGAGTGGGGCAGCTTGAGCCCCATAGGTTTCCCAGCATAAGCAGGGAGCCGCAACCATCCACTGCTCAGCTGCCTACTTCTCCCCCAGAGATGCAGGCCAGGGAACGCCCCAGATGCCAGAAGTTTAAGGCCTTCCCACATGTTTCACTGTTTTCTTGCAAGTAAAAGCTCCCATTGATAAGGAGCCTTCCAAACCCAGCCCTCAGCAGCTTCCCTTCCAGGGTGCTTGATGCTGGCAGAAGCAGCTGCAGGGCAGCGTTTCCTGCTGGGTTACAAGAGGACCAGACCAAGTGAAACCCTCCCTTCACAAGAGCAGCCAGCAGTGCTCAGCTCCCTGCACTCATCCCTGGGCCAGGGGAAGCCCAGAGCCCTGGGAAGAGGCCTCTCACTCCTGGTACCATGAGAGCAGGGCCCGATCTCCCTGCGTCAGGCCAGGCCAGCAGAGGAGCACAGAGCAAGTGAGGCGGGTTTTGTTTTTTATTAAATATACATCCTCTCTTGGCACAAATCATAAAATAGATACAAACATTCTGTAACAAAGTGTCTTCACGGCATCAAAATAGAGCTCCGGCTCCCAGGAGGGCCATCCATCTGCCCACACACACAGGCACCTACGCATGGCGGGGACACATCTGAACCAAAGGCATTGGACAGGGTTTGTGCTCGATGCATAGACCACACAGGCAGGGTGCGGGGAGGAGGAAGGGAGAACTGGATGTTGCGAGGACAGGACTGATTTTATTCACAACTTCCCTTCCCTGGCCCCAGCCAGGCCAGGCCATAATATGCTGTCTTGGCCCCGAGCAGAATGGAAGGAACCGCACCAGGCAGTTCCCACTGCCAGTGCAATGTTGCTTCCCTGCCTTTGCCAGCTGTGCTCCCTGGTGCCAGACTTCACTCAAACCGCTGCTCCCAGGGAGATGCTGCACCTGTCTGGTGCCAGCCTGGCTGAGACAAGAGCTGCCCGAGTTATGCGACAGGCCTATACCACTCTGCACAGCCACGCAGCCCAACTGCGCTTGTAAGAACGACTGCCACAGCACCAGCAGACATGCCTTCGCTACATGCCTTGCCGCGCTTCCACCCCTTGCTCCCAGCTGCTACAGCTGCTCCAGGGCACCCTGCCCTCCAGTAAGCTCTCCATGCACCCAGATCTGCCACCCACCTTGCCATTGCTGCAGGCCTGACCACCCTACCCTGTGGCCAGCTGCCTCACTCAAGCCCTGTGCTCCCAGAGAGCCCATGGAGAGGCCTCTGGGGCATATGCAAGAGCCAGGGGCTTGCCTCCAATGGATCAGCCCCTCCCTGTATTTCCTACCTGGGTCTCTTTCATTCGACCCTCCAAACTCCTGGAAGATCACGCACCTTCACCGGCCAGGGAGGGGATAGCTGCACAGAGCCGAGGGGTGTTGTGTGCAAGGCTCTGACAGGAAAGGACGCAGGCATTTAGGGGAGAAAGTGAGCGAATGGCACTTGATAAAAAGTTCAAAGATGTTTCAGTACACGCCCCCCACCACGTCCATTCTTACACACACACACACACACACACACACACGGTCTCTCCAAGAACACTTATGTAAGCAATGGAAGAACACCGAAGTTGCCATGACTGACAGGAAACGGCCTGTTTCTCAGCTAACATGGGCCTGAAAGTCAGGGAAAATATTAGGCTGAAACTAGAGTTTAAGATAGAATCAGCTGCAGCCAGGAAGGAGGCTCCCTGGAGCCAGGCACCAACAGACCTGGACCCACCTTCAGGCTCGCGCTGGGGCATGGAGGTTTGGTGCAGAGGCCTCAGTTGCCCCCTCCCCTTGCCCCATGCATCCCCAGGTTCCCCAGCCAAAGGCCGTGTCCCACCAGGCTCCTCTGCTCCAGGGCCCTTTCAGACTGGCACTACCAGTCTGAGGGGCAAGAGGGGCAGCGCAGGGCAACCACCCAGCCACCTCCTGCGCCCCCTCAGTGCTGCTTCACTCCCAGGAGCAGCGGCTATAGCACAGCAGGCCCCAAGAGGAGCCCAGAGGGATCGGATGAACTTGACAGCTGCCCGGCCATGCCAAGACAGCTCTGCAGAGCCCCAGCTGCTCCTCTGCATCTCTTGTCATCGTGCAGTACTGCCCCTGAGGGTCCCAACTGACTACGGACACGGGCAGCGTCTCCGCTGGGACAGGGAATGGCTCAAGTCCCTGCAGAGGGACAAGTGGAGCTTCGCCTGCATGGTGGCATCAGGAAAAGCCTGGCCTCTGTCTCCTGCCACAGACACATGGCCTGTGCAGCCACATGACAGCACAAACACCAGGTGACAGCAATTTACTTCTAAGACAAGGCAGTGAGTGGGATGGGGATCACCTTGGCTGACGCTCACAGGCAGACCCCACTGAGGCCTCACCTCACCTGTGCGCTGCTGTGGAGGTAACACTGAGGCCAACAGGCAAGTTAGCAGCTTGGCCCACCGCACCGCAGGGGATCAGGCAGGCACCTGTCACATGTACTCATGCTGGAAAACATTTGGCACTGAAAGTACAGCCTGCTCCAGGAGCAAGCACAGAGACCTAAGCCAGCCAGAGCAATGCAAGGACAACAGAATATCATGCCTGGGGGTGGCAGGGATCCTGCTGGAGTCTGCCTGCCTCCAACTTCATCCCCTCCACGTTTCCCCCACAAGCAGCACCCCTGCCAGACTGAGGAGAGACCTCCCCCTGGGCCTCAGCTGCCTGGAGAAGAGAGGTGGGTATAAGAGTGTGCAGCAGCCCCTCAAAGCACCACTTCACAGAGCCCTCCTCCCAGTCACATTCAGACATGCTTTGGGATCCGTTTCACACTTGCAGCTCAGCCCAGCACGGGGCCACAGCAGCCCGCGCAGGACGCCCCAGGGCCGAGCTGGCCCCACAGAACTCCAGGGGAAAACTGCCAGAGCCCAAGTGAACCCGCCAGGCTGCTCAAGCCCAGGCAGTGCCCAGCCACACAGCAGGGTGGCTCTGCAGCAGGAGGTAAATGTTAGGTCAATCCCATTCATGCAGCCACCACAGAGGACAGCGACAGGTCTGCACCATGCATGCGCATACACACCCCTACACAATGTTTGTTCTTGCAGTGCTGATAAAGCAGGCCTGATAATACTGTGTGTGGGGGCAGCAGGGGGTGCTTTGAGCAGGCAGCATCCCCTCTTACCTCTCTTGAGTCCTAATACTGGGATCTGCTAAAACCCTTGGGAAATGCTGCCTTTAGGGACAAGGGGGGAGACTTATAGAGATGGCCTGCTTTTGCCCCCCATTCACATTCTGATTTGATCCCAGCCCCAGCTGAGGACAGGCACAGGAGCTCCAAGTTGGTGCTCTTAGCTCTTTCCATGCCAGCCGCAGCCTCTGCTGGCTCTAGACGGGCTCAGATGTGGGGTGTTAGACAGGCAACAACGAGACCACAACGGAAGTGGAAAGGAAGAGGGGTGGTGGGTGTACACAGCGCCTTTTGGTGCAGGAGGCATTCAGCACAGCCCCATCTGTTTCAGAGGAGATCCAACTGCTTCAGTCAGCCCGGCCAGGCACTCACCTCAGACCCACAGCATGGCACGGCCAAGGCCTGCCTGCCAGGCAGAGAGATTGCTGGCAGGATCCAAGGAGGGGCACCTCTTCTTCTACAAGCCAGGAGCCCACCTTCAGCTTGGTGTGCTCCTAGCATCAAAGTGTTAAACACAAGGAGGTGGCAGCCTACCCAGACCAGGAGGGGCCGGGGTGTTCACCTGGGGATGGGTTAATTCCAGATAACTCAGAGGCTCATTACAACAAGAAAATCACCATGTCAAACCTCGGCAGTGGCGGGACGTGATGGTGTTTCCTGCCTTTCCACAGGCACTGCAGCCCCCCTCTCCCAATGCTCGGGACAGAAACTACCTCTGGACGTCCATGCGGTGCTGCAGCTTTCGGAGTAGGATCTGTGTCAGGTCAAAGGTCATGAAGCTGATTCCCACGGCGATGGGACCTTTGACCCAGTTCATGCTCAACCCTTTGTACAGGCCTCGGACCAGTCCCTCCTCACGGATGATCTCCTGCATGGTGAGGAGGATGGAGCTGTACGTGTGCCCTGTGACCCCGGCCGTCTGCATGCGCCGACGCACCACGTCCAGGGGGTAGGAGGCTGACTGGCCAATCAGGCCCGCACAGGCCCCAAACAGGAGCCGCTCCACGGGGTACGGCTGCAAGCGCCCGCTGTGATCTGAGAATGGAGGGGAGAGGCGGAGGGTGTAAGCAGCTGTAAGCCCAGCCAGGACTCCTGTGACCCAGTTCCAAACCTCTGGCTTACAGAATATAGGGCTGGCAGCGCCCTCAGGGGATCATGTCTAGTTCAGCCCCCTGTCCCAGGCAGGATCACCCTTGTCTGAAGCACCCCTGAACAGATGTTTGTCTCCCCTGCTCTTAAAACCTCCAGTAAAAATCCAGGCACAATACCTGAGGCCTCAAACACACTCTTTAGTCTGCCCCGGGGAAAGCAGGGGTATGAGGCACTGCCAGCATCCTGCCACTGCAAGGATAGGAGACAGTTCTGCCAACGCAAAGGGCACTGCTGCAGCCTTTACCTGCATGAAGTTTCTTCAGTGACTCGTAGGTGAAGAAGCTGAGGCCAGCATATGGGATCACACCGATGATGGTAGGTGTGAAACCCCTGTACAAGGTCTTCAGCCCTTCCTCCTGAGAGATGCGGATGAAGACGTGAATGATGTTGCTGTACCTGCCCCGGGACAGAAGCAGAGGGTTAGCGTCTGCACAAAGCCCCGGAGTGACTCTGCACTACCTCCATCAGATGATACTCAGACCTCACCAGCTCTCACAGGCGAGCCACATGTCCTTCTGAGGCACTTACATCTCCTTTGGTGTGACTGCCATCCGTGCCCGGACCATGTCCAGAGGGTAAGTCAGCATGGTTGCTGTCATGCCTGCCAGCGATCCGGCAATGAATCTCGGGAAGGGAGGTAGCGCCCTGCAATGAGGGGAGAGGAGAATGAACAGTTCATGTGCGCATGAAGTCAGACCTGCTTTTAATTTAGGCTCCCTCCACTGCAACACCAAATCCTCCTGGAGCTGGTACTAGGGACAGTCTGCAGGCTGCTGCAATGGCAGGGTCAGAGGCGCAGGGAACCCTGCATTAGGGACAGATACCACCTGCCCATGCAGAGAGAGGCAAGTGAGAGGCCAGGACCTGGGCTGGGGCACAGGGGCTGGGTGGCAGCTCTCCAGGCACCCCAGCCTGTTGCTTCTCTCGCAGCAGAACGATGCTTGGTTTTGCCCCACATCCTTCTGGCACCCAGGAACCTCCTAGCCCCACAGGCCTTGCACTCACCCTCCGGAAACAGCCAGCCAGGGGAAGTCTATCCAGGGCCCCAAAGCCAGGATGGGGGCAGCAGAGACATGCCTTTGTGCTCTGCGCAGCCCTGCCCTCCGTCTCTGTGTGTTACTGGGCTCTCCTGGCAGTAGTGCTCTCTGCTGAGCCATGTGGGGCATCCCCATTCCCCCAGGCCTCAAGCTCTCCCCACCTGGCACTGCCAAACCCAGTCCTCTGGCACTGCTGTGCCCAGGATCAGCCCTACAGGGCCTTACTTTCCATGGAAACCATAGTAGCTGCCCAGGAGATGCTTGTACTCTTCGTGTGCACAGAACTGGATGGCAGCGTATGGGATGACCCGGACCATAGTGGCTGAGTTGCCGCGCCACAGGCTCCAGATGCCGTCATGGAGGTAGCTGCGGTAGATGAATCTGTAGGCTTCCTGCACACAGTGGAAAGTGAGAGGGGTCTGCATGACCATAACATTTCACCTGGGAAGGAGCTAGAGCATCTTCTACAGGGGAGAGCAAGTCCCAGCAAAACAATGCCCCTAGGCCCAACCCCAGAGCGATGTGGGAAGATGTTAGCCATTTCCCCTTGCTCCCCCAGTTGTGCTCAGAGTCACAACACGACAGCACCAGTTTAGGACACAAAAGCCAGCTGCACTTTTCCTACAATACATGCTGAAAAGGAAAAGAAAAGCTGGAGATGGCAGGTCTTTTGACTCAGCCCCTCAAGGCAAGGCTGCCCTGAGGTCTGTGCAGCTCACAGCCCTCAATCAATATTCTTGGGGCAAACTGGGGGAAAAAAGCAAACTTTGGCTGATGGACATTAGCAGGCTGCACTGGGCACACACAGCACTTTGCAAGCCTGTTGGAAAGCACCTGCCCAAAGTCACACTTGCAGTCTCTGAACCAATTCCAGTCAGCTGGGGGAGGAAGGACAGGCATCGGGGACTGGGCCTACCCAACAGAGCCCAAGGAACTCCTACCATGTTACTTAGGTGCCTCTGCAAGACAGAGGCATGAGTTGAGGACTGGGACCCCTATGAACAGTGAGATGGGCACAGGCATGCCCAAGATAGCTTCTGTCCTGAGGAGTATTATAAATAACTTTCATAATATCTTTACAAGGCTTTTCCTCAGTGCTCTTTCCCTTTAAACACTGCTAATAAAACTCAGGCAGGACAGTTAAATACAACAGAGAGCCCTTTTATTACTATTGCTGCCGTTAATCAAACGCTTCCGGTCACCAGGAGACACACATGGAGCCTCACCTTGGCAGAAAATCTTTTTGAAGACACTAGGAAAAAAAAGAAGAAGGTGGTGGTGAGGGCTGGGACTTGCTGCACACAGCAGTGGCAAAGATCAGATGAGCATTCTGCTCAGCAAACAGAAAAAACCAGCCCCACCGGCAACTGAGATTGTTTCTATGCGCCTTTCCCTCAGTTCCAAGTCTCCAGGCCACCTCCCAGCAGACAGAGGTCCGTCCTCTGCCAACACTGGCAGGTTACTTTGGGGAGGTGAATAGACCTGGGGTGCATAAGCCAGTTCTGTGTGTTAAGAGTGATGCATATTTAACAGACACCTGCACACAAGTTACAGAGTTAGGCTCACATTTTGCAAAGGGCAAAGGTTCCCTTGGACTCCCCACGACAGGGAGGCTTTCCCCAAACACAGCTCACTACCAAATCAGGGCACTGGTTTTCCAGTGTCCTTTCAAAGCTTGGACAGCTCCCCTCTGGCTACGGGACATGCACAGCGAGCGGAAGGGAGATTTCTCTGGTGTTTAATTCCCCCAGCAGAACTCCCCTGCTAATGACGCATGGTTTTGACCCAGCCTCCTCTTCAGCTGCTTTCAAATTCCTTGTGGTTTGTAACTCTCTTGTCTACACAACAGTACTGTGCAATCCTATTTTTTCTGCTGCTCCCTCAAGCCCCTCTGGCAGTTGGGAGCTGTGTACAACATGCTGCTGCCCTGCCCACTGAGGCCTACCCAGCTACGCACTCTGAGATAACTTTTATAGGCCACATGACCCACAGTCTCTTTCCCTTCCTTGAGAGCAAGCCACTCCCAGGACAAAACCCTCCCGGCAGTGAGAGACAGGGAACTCCCTGGAATACTGAAGTTAGAAGTGGCTGCTTGTAATCAGACAAGTGACCTCCCGTGCAGTTCAGCAGGTCAAACAAGCTAGCCGTGTACCCCATCTGTCTACCAGACGTGGCTCAGGGCACTTCTGCAGTGATGTGCAGACTGCTGCTGCCTTCCTCTGCTCACCAGGACCCATTACAACCTATGTGCTCTCAGCTGCGGCTCAACATCTTCCATCAGCTGCAACGCTTAACATGAGCAGGTGCAATACCATGCACAGCTCTGCAGATGCATCTCAGCCCTGACCTCAGCTCCCTGCAACTGTGCTAGCTCTTAGCTCCCCCTCCCCCAGCTCCAGCCAGCACCACTGTCCCCTGCTGCACCAGATGTGGGCCTCCGCTAAGCAGAGAATGATTGAACCCAATCACCTCAAACAGGATTGCTGCCAAGGATCAGACTTGATTCAAGCTCACTTCATCCACAGTGCCAGGTCAGCTTAAATCTGCTGCTTCCATAGAAGCTGAAGGCATTAGCCAGTCACACCCACCCCCTCTTGCAGGGTACGGTACTTCCTACTGGTTCCTGCTGTTGCATAGGGATTTATTGGACTATACCCACAGTCAGGCAGATGATGAGCCCTGGACCAAGTCCTAATTCCCACTGAGGGCAGGAGAATTTGCTATTCAAAACAGCTGAAGGTGCTGTCAGGTGGTCACTTTTAGAGTACAGGGTCCAAAAGGACGATGCCAAGCGAAGCCAGACATTCTTCCCCCTGCTCCTTTGCCTCTGGAAGTGCTCAGTGTGACCGATTTAAACAGCAAACAGAGCTGGCTCAACCTAGATGTTACTAATCTGTAACAAGACAGAATGATGTATAGCAAGATGTACAACCCTGCCACCCATTCTGCAGCAGGACAGCTCAGAAGTTGATTTTCCCAGTGTCCCCTGTTCCTACTTCCTCGCTGACATTTTGGGGCATTTCTCAGGGCACAGAAATGCAAGCAGTCCATATGGCATCATGCACCCCTTTGGTTTGCCTTGCAAGGTCTCTAGCACACAATTGCTACATACTTTAAAAACCTTCCCCCAAAGACAGATGGCGTGGACACTGGAGTCAGAAGTGGACTGGCCAAGTTTGCCGATGACACCAAACTTTGGGGCAAAGCATCCACACCAGAAGACAGGCAGGTGATCCAGGCTGCCCCGGACAGGCTCAGCAAATGGTCGGACAAGAACCTGGTGGTGTTTAACACCGAAAAATGCAAGGTTCTCCACCTTGGGAAGAAAAACCTGCAGCATCCTTATAGGCTCAGCAGTGCTACGCTGGCTAGCACTATGGAAGAAAGAGACTTGGGGTCATCACTGACCACAAGATGAACGTAAGCCTGCAATAAAATGCGGCTAGTAAAGCGACTAAAACACCAGCTTGCATTTGTAGATGCTTCTCAAGTAAATCCCAGAATGTCATTCTTCCATTGTACTCAGCCTTGGTGAGGCTGCAGCTGGAGTACTGCATCCAGTTTTGGGCCCCGCAATTCAAAAAGGATGTGGAGAAGCTTGAGAGAGTCCAGAGAAGAGCCACGCACATGATCAGAGGTCAGGAAAACAGACCTTACGACGACAGGCTGAGAGCCATGGGGCTCTTTAGCCTGGAAAAGTGCAGGCTCAGGGGTGACCTGATGGCCACCTATAAGTTTATCAGGGGTGACCACCAGGATCTGGGGGAACGTTTGTTCACCAGAGCGCCCCAAGGGATGACAAGGTCGAAAGGTCATAAACTACTACAAGACCGTTTCAGGCTGGACATAAGGAAGAATTTCTTTACTGTCCGAGCCCCCAAGGTCTGAAACAGCCTGCCATCGGAGGTGGTTCAAGCACCTACATTGAACACCTTCAAGGGCAAATTGGATGCTTATCTTGCTGGGATCCTATGACCCCAGCTGACTTCTTGCCCTTTGGATGGGGGGCTGGACTCGATGATCTTCCAAGGTCCCTTCTAGCCCTACTGTCTATGAAGTCTATGAACCTTCCCCCAAAGGCAGAGACAGGAAGAGCACACAACGCCTATGTGCCCCTGCTGCCTTCATTGTCCCCTAGGACCCAAAAGGTCCTCTCTTCTACTGGAGGTCAAACGGGAGCAGGATCCAAGCTCCTAAACCTGACCCTTCCTGGCCTCAGGATCAGGCACTATGATCCCAACCAGGAAGGAAAGACTAAGTCTGCTCTGCTTCATGCAGGTTCTGGCCTTGCACTGATCCCCGTGGCCCCACCGCTGCCAAAGCCAGCCAGGGCTCTGCAGAGCAGAAAATGGGGGCTCTGCTCTGTCCTGGGTGCAGCAGCACTCACCTTGGAACATGATTTTTGTCCTGTCCAGTGGGGCAACAGCCGTTTTGGCCACGGCACCAGCCAAGGCACCAGACATCAGGGAATTGAGCACGTTCTTCTTCTCTGGACCCCCCTGGAACAACAAAGCACGTCCCGGCATTCAGCAAGGTCAGGCAACCACTATGCACATCTGCAAAGGGCACAACTTTGCTGCACAGACACAGGCCAGCTTTGCCCACGTTCTGAGCTCCCACGTGGTCAAGCCAGACTCAACCACCCTTGTGAAACCACTCTCCATCCCAGTCCTGGGGCTACAGTAACTAGGGTTAGTGCTACGCTTTGTGGAGGTGTGCTCTACATTTCCTGCCTTGGTCTGTGAATTGCTTTGCAATACACAATGGAAGAATGTGTCTGGGTCTCCTGAACCCTATGCTCCCAACCTGCCAACTCAATTAATCAAGGTACTGTGGGTTCTGTACACATCACTTCCGCTGGCAGCCTGTGTTTTGGCTGCTGCCAAGGCACGAGGCCAGCATGCATATGCGACCTCATCCAGCTGTTGGCATTGATGCAACACCCATTTCTGAAACTAGAGACAGACAGGAGCGAGGGGCTTTTCCACTGCAGCTTGCCACCATGAGAAGGAAGCTACAGGACTGGGCATGATCTAATCTACACAGACACTAACCTACCTGGGGGGGCTAGCCTGGGTGGGAATCCCAGCAAGCCCTGCAGCAGAGGCATGCCCAGAGTCTTTTCTAGCTGAGATCAGGGAGGCAAAAAGCCATCTCTGGGGCCCTACTGGAATATTCTCCCAACCTGGGGCAAGGACAACTGGCAGGTCTTTGCTGCCTAGAATTCCCTGGATTAAATCCCCTGATCAAAAGGGATTTAGGATGATCAGAAACTGAGGCCAAGGCCCCACAAAATGGAATCCCACTTCCCAAATGTCAGAGACTCCAAAGCAGAAACATAGCTCCAGGTTGCAGCCCAAGGGCAAAGACTAAATGAGTCTGGCAGGGTACAAAGTCGGGCACCTTTCACACTGGTGGGGTCTGTTCCTTCCATGCTTGCAGGATGAGCTGGGTGCTGCACTCACCAGGCTGGAGCCACGGACTCCCAGCCTGGCACTTAGTTCTTTTAAACATGTACTTCCACTGATGCCCCAGCCACATTAACTGGTCTCAGGGTCCTCAGGGCAAGGTGTTGAGGTTCCACGAGGGTGATGAGTGGAAGGGTTATCAGCATTTGTACTCCTGTCACATGTTCCAGCTTCATGTTCTTCAGAACACGCAGACAGGGCCAGGGAAAGTTTGGGACACCTGACACTAGGAAGGCAGCGAGCTGTGCTGTCAGCAAAGTCCAGGTGTGTCCTGGCCACCTTAGCTTCTAGTGGCACAGTTCAGACTTGCATGGAGCAGGGAACAGACTGCTGCTTACTTTGCTTGGCCCACTCTGCCATGACCTGACCAGCCCATCTCATTAGTGAGAATAACTGCAATGCAGGCAGGCAGGCAGGAGTCACTCTCAGGGTCCATCAGCTTGGGCTCTCCCCCGCTTCTCAGCTAAAGGGAGGCAAAAGGCAACTCCAAGCTTCTGCAAGCCCTGCCTGAACTACAGGAAGCGTTTTGGTCAGACAGGGTCAGGCAACCAAGGGCAGACACAAGACACAAGTCAGGAGAAGAACAGGTTCCAGTTGCCTTGGCTCTGCTGTATGCAGCCATTCACAGAGGACAGCTCTTTGAGACAACCGGACTGAGCTGTTGGCAAGGCTGCAGCATCACAAGTGCCGAACACTGGATCCCCAGCTTGTCTCCGTCACCATCCAGACCACTGTCCTCCAGCCTGGCTTATCCTACAGGCACAGTGAGGTGGAAACTCATGTCCCTTAGTGAGGTAAGTTAGCCCAGGATCAGGAAGGGACAGACAAGTCCCCCAGACTAGCTTCACACAGCTGGTGCATTTGTCATTTGCAAACTCCCACCTCACACTTGTGCCTCTTCTGCCAGCTCATTGTGACAACTGCATTTATTCAGATAATCTGCCAGAGACGATCCCTTCTCCCCCTTCTCCTGACACCAGCCAGGAGGTGACTCAGGCTTGCACATTATCTTTGTCATTAGAATCCCACCAGCTGCCCCCACCTTCATGCCTAGACTGTCTTCAACCTTTTTGCTAACAGCAGCTTCACAAGTGTTCATACTGGAAGGGTGCAATAATAGCACGTTTGCTGCAGCTCCTGCTGGATGCCCAGGCCTGCTGACACTCAGTTCTCTTTTGCAGAGAAGCTAGCTGCCCACAAATCCACTACAACCCCCCCACTTCCCCCTCCACTCTTACCTCAGGTAGGAGACGGGCGGCCACAATCGGCTCCACATTGCTCTGTTTGAGACCCACTCGCCCTTCCTTCACACCATTACCCATACCAGGCGTGCTTGCTAGGCAGGAGAGTTATAGCTCCTAAACTGAACACAAAACAAAGCAGCAGTTAAGCAAGAGCCAGGAGCAAACCTTCAGGTACTGCTTGTGCTTGCCCTGGAGCACAGCATAACCTGCACTGCAGGCCCCTTCTCACAGGCAGACCTGCTTCAAGGCAGTATGTGCCAAGGCCTCCAGCACAGCAGCTCTCCCTCGTGGCAACCAACTGCAGAGGCTCCGTCTATGGGGCTGTTCCCTGCTAGTGAAAACACATGGCTTACTACTCCTGGAAGTGGTTTTACCCTTTCCTGTGCCTTCATGGGTATGCTTTGGACCTGGGAGAGATCTCGGGTCCAGGATGCTGCAGAGATCCTGGATCTTACGCAGCAATAACTCAATGTTCCCAGCTTCATAGTTTAAATAGGAAAAAAAGCAGCATCAGCAAGGAAGCTTCCTAAAGTCACATACTGAATTGTTTTGCAATTAAGATTGCCATTAATGCCGCTGGCCCCAAGGACGGGCACTCAGACAGACACAGTGGGATCTCAACCAGTCTGAGACCCTGAAAGGGGTCCCGCCAGACTTCAAAATGGGGGTATCTAAATCAGTTCCCTCCTCCCATCCCGCCCCCTCCCTTGCAATCTGAAATTGGTACTATTTAGGACCATCCTCAATCTGTTTCCATTCCATTTCTGCCCACAGGGATTTTAGCAGCAAATTATATCACCCCTGGCAGGGAGGCTTAAAAATAGTCAATTGCTTCCCTCCTGGCACATTTCTTTGCTGTGACTATGGTTTTCTAACACCCCAGCTCTTCAGGGCAAGATTAAAATGCACATAATTTTCAGGAGCTAAGAATTAAATGTGGCTCTGCCCTCCCCAATGCTTGTGGGGAAGGGTCCCGGCTGCCTCTCTCTCTGCATGTTCAACCTCCAGTTCCTCCAGGACAAGGCACACAGGGCTTGTACTGCTGGGTAGGGAAAGAGGAAAAACTAGTCCCAGCAATCCCTTCAAGGAGGGTGGCATGAGCAACCGGATCCATCAGCTTCCTAAAATAAACAGCCAATGCCTCATCTCTGCCACACAGACTATTTTGATGATGCCAATGATGTGACAGCACAGCACAGTAAGTCACATCAGGTTCCTTTTAGCCATACCAGTTTCAAGCATGGCTGAGCTGCTGCTGGCAATGGGTGTCTGGAGGTTTCTCACTGGGACATGTGCTCTCAGCAGTCTCTGGAAAGGGTCACCCCACTCTTCACTACCGTGTTACGGTCACAGGGGAAAAGGACTTCAAATGCAACAAGTGGCAGCTGCAGCCCCTATCCTGCCACCATCCATTTAGCTCCTCAGGTTTGTCTATTTCTGATCCCTCCCATGACAGAGAAAATAAGTTCCTTTCAAAATATTTAGGTAAAAGTTGTAAGAGACTCAGGAGCTTTTCCCCAAGCAGCAGATTACATCAGACCATTTGAGAATAAAACAGCTGCCGAGGTCAGAGTTTCCCCTCGGTGTTACAGCTCAAATGCCAGATGCTAGAACGACACGAGATCTCCAGACCTGAAAACACCCCATGTTTTGGGAAAAGGGGAGGGGAAAGGGGGGAATAAGGACCAGTGATTCCAGTGAGGAACTGGGAGCTTGCTTTCCTCAGTCTCATTCTCAAGCAAATTCCCCACGTCAGTCCTTACTCCACAGGTGGGGAAACTGAGGCACAACAGCCAGCCTACCTGGGAACATTTCTGGAAGGCCCAGTATCTCATTTAAGACTTCTCCAGATATCCATGTGCTTGTCAGTGCCTTCCACTCCTGCTGACCTATTTTATCATATTGCTGCCATAAATCAGTGCTAGTCTTCTCTTCCCAGATCCCCCTTGTCATTGGGGCGATATTCATGTAATCCAAGAGACAAATCCTCTCTGTATGCGTTCATGCACGACCTATGTGATGAAGATCCCACAGCCACGCATGACCCACGTGCTGGCTCTGAAGCAGAGCAAACGGGCAGCAGTATCTTGAATGCCAGACACCGCCTTTGTTTGCTAGAGCTCACATTCACCACTCCCCAGATGTTCAGAGCAGGACACCCAGAGGGTAACAATTCAAATGGTAAAGAAAAAAGAGACTTAACACTCCAAATCAGACCTGAACAATGAAAAATAGCAATGTATGCCCCGAAAAGCCTGCAGAGAGAGACATGGGATACAGCATGGCCACTTCAGATGGAAACTCTGAGTCATAAAGATCACAGGACTAAGAGAACAAGACAGCATACCTCACAAGGGATGATGTTATTAAACCAATGTCACTTTGTAAAATACTCTATTGATTTTCCAACTGCCCGTAGCAGCTGCTGGTCTCCTCCTCATCCCATTTCCCTAAAGACTCCATCAGAGAAGAGTGCATTTAAGTGAAAGTGAAAGCCACAAGCAAAAGGTAGCACCTTTCACCATCTCAGGCCCTGCCTCAGCAATGTGGACCAAAGCAGCAACCCCCATTCCCCCCTAAGCAAGGAATGGCATCAATGACATCCGTGCTTGTGTCCACAGCATCACCCTGCGACAGTGTTTGCAAGCGATTGCGACTCAAAGGGAGCTAGTCCAAATGATTTTTAAGCCAAGACAGACTTTTCTGTACAGAAAAGGAAATTAGTAAACCTGGGAGGGTTTTAGCAGAGGTGCATGCACTAAGCATGGCATCAGCTTATTCAATGATCTTCTCCGTTAATGTGTTCAGAGATGCATCTTACTTCAGGAGCTAAGGCACTGATTCTGCAAAGACTTATCCTGAGCTCCCCCTTACACACCAGCAGTACCAGAGCTTCACCTACTCTACATGCATACCTCAGTTCAGCACCATGGAGGTCTCTGCAGGTTCAGGGCTTAAGGAAAAGAGCAGGAAAGATGTTTCTTCCCACATTTTCTTTCTACAGAACAGCACAGCTCTCGACAGGGGAACTGCATGCTACTCCGGCTCATGCATCAGCTGACTTGTAACAAGAGCCCTAATGATGCATTAGCAGAAGGAACCCAGTTTCTCTTTAAGGATCCAGCGTGAGCTGGCAGGGCCTGACAATTAGGAAACAAACCTCAGTTCATTACTAAATCAATCAGATTTGATCCTCAAGCCATCAGGAGAAATGTGGCAGGGAGCAGCTCAATATTTACAGAGACCCTTCATCTCTCAGCACCTGGGAACTGCCTATGCTTAAACATGCGGCCCAGGTAAGTTGGGGGATAGAGGAGGGGGATTGCAAATGGGTTTTACTTTCTACTGTATGCCTGCAGGTCATTCATATTGCTCCTGCACCCTCCACCCCCATAGCTCACACACACGGGCAAGTGGTTCGTTATGCTAGGCACTGGACAAACAGGCGGTGAGATGACTTCCCTGCCCAAGAGACTTTACAGTGTGAAAGCAAAACTTTTGGCCATGGTGGGCTTCAAAGATTAAACAAGTTTAGTCAGTAACACACACTGCGCCTCTGTAACAGGACTCCAGCCCACTGGCTGGAAAGTACAAAGCGCCCATTATATCTGCCAAGTTTAAGTCCTAGAAAAGTGACTCCAATCTTTGAAAAGGGTAGAAAGGAGCATTTTCTCATATTCTAGGCTAAGGAGGAAATGCAGTTAACCCCTTGAGGGGATTCCTCATCGTTAGTCAGCAATAAGGTGCAAAACAGATTTCCACCGAGAACCCTTGAGCGCCTGGCTGAGAAGTGCACGCTGGTCACAGACAACGTGGTACCCGCCTGGCTTACAGGCCACATATCTGAGGGTCTTGTCACAAGAGTTTTCCTGGATTTGCCTTGGTAAATGTGGAAGCCAACAGGAATCCTCAGCCCCACGCTTGCTCCTGGACATGCAGCATGTTCTGTGCGCGTGAAGGAGAACAGTCCTCCTGGATTTTCATCTCTAGCTCCGCTCTGCAAGTATCCGAACAAACCATAGCCTACGGATTCAATTCACCTATCAAGTTAACCCTTTGATGGGCCAGGTACTTTTTAACAGCTCTTTTCTGGATTAAGGACAGATGAGACAGAGTCAGATCATAGAGAGGGCTCCCAAAGAAGAAAGTTGCACATGCACTGCTCCATCAGTACTTTGCCCAAAAAGAACAGTGTCTCAACTCTGCAAAAATCACCGAGCTTTCCTAGGTGGAGGAACTCTTCCCCATACTGCAACTAGACCTCCCTCCTTAGATGAGGCCTTCAGAATCGACACAGCACCTTGTTACCTAAAGAATAAAAAGATTGACTCAAATACCAACAAAGCTCCAACAACTGGCAACGGGAGGGTTAATCTCAAACTCAGAGCACAGAGCTTAAAAGAAAAAAAAAAATGCATTGCTAAAGCCACAATCTGCAGGTTATTAACTGACCTCTCAATTAAGCCTAATGAAATTAACTTGCCATAACTAAAAGACAACCTGCACACCTCCCTGCTTTTGCACAGCTTGCCTGCTGGCGATGTCCTTTCCTGGGGCAGGCCCTAGGTCTTGCTCCACTCCCAGGAATGCCAGTGCTGGCAGGCAAGACAGAACAGCACCTAGAACAGGATCCTTCTTGGCCTCCTTCTGGCAACAACTACTCCTCTGCTGATCAAGGAGGAGTTCACCTTGCAGGCGGCTTATTCACTGAAGCATGCAGCTGTTCAGATGCCACAAACAGGCCTGGCAGAATCTCATTGCCTTTAAGCACCCCAATACTCTGATAGCTGCAAAAGGAAACCTAGCCATTCCCATTTTTACACTGACTACTTCAGTTAACATACAGCAGGCTGAGGCATCCAGCCAATATACTAGCTGGTGGCTTGTCATTACTGAAACATGTTTGCTCGACACTGTATTCTCTTTATGTCTCTTTAGACCTGTGCAAGACAGCAAAGTTTCTAAAAGACTGCCAGTTGCTCCACAGCAAATGGCAAAGCCATTGCAATGCAAATACCCAGCAGTGTCAGCAAGCTGCTTGCCAAGCACAGCAATTTTCTCAGATGTATTTACCTTCCACTTCACGCTGGTGGCAATGATGAAAGCGTTTTGCAACACCAGGCACAACGATCTGACAGGCAACAGCACGACCGCATGACTCTGGCTGCTAAAGGAACGTGTCCCCTCTCCATATATTCATGGACAAGCTTGATTTGTGGCAGTAAAACAAGCAGCATTATCTCCAGTTTGCTGTTGCACTTCTCTAGCTGTCAAGAGTTTAACCAGATTAAAAAACAGGATTGGACACATTCTTGGAGGAAAGGGGCATCAGTAGCTATTAAGCACAGGACTGAGAGGCATGGCCTCTGAATCAGAACTATCTGTACCTTAAATGCTGGAGGCTGCAAGTGGGAGAGGACCAGGGGAAAAACCCTGGTCAGACCCAGTTCACTTTCCCTTTCAGCCTCTGCCCCTTTGTGACACAGGAGACTGGGCAAGATGGACCCAGTGTCTGACCCAGTACATGGCAAGGAGATTTAGGGACTGGGGGCACTTTGCTCTGGGACTGAAGCACAGAGGCCCATAGACGGTGAAGACAGGAAGGCAGCCGATGCCAGGTCTGCAACACAAGCTTGCAATGTCAAGTGGAGTTGCTCAAACAACTGACATCTGTAACACACCTCCCCTCCCCGTATCCTAATACAGGGGGCTTCAACCATCCCACAAACAGAGCTACTAGCAACACAGCGCAATTCAGAGCTGCAAAGGAAGTCTCCAACCTTGCAGTCAGCTGAAGTTGAAGAGGGATTTTGGAGGTGGGATACAATTGTCTAAAATTTGGCTAGGACAAACACCGTGAGATCCGTTTGAACCACCACCAGGGAGCAGCACCTCTCCTGAGTCTCCTCCAAGAAAACCAAGCACAGGCTAGATCTCTTCTCCCATCCCTCATCAGGAGTTTCTCAGACTAGAAGCTGCTCCTGCAGAGAAGAGCAGTTCCTTGTGACTGTACAAACAGGGAGTACAAACAGAGCTCCATTCCTGAGAAGAGCCTGGAGGTACATTTGTTAGGGAAACATTAGATAAAGCAGATTACACCTGTGGCAGAACAGTCTGATGTCAGGAAAGAAAAAACACTTTTGTGTCTCCACCAAGAAGAGCCAGCCTCCCACACGGCTCCATAGCGAGTTGGTTCCATCTGGTTCTGTTTTTTTGGTTTGTTCATCATCACATCACTAACAGACATTGCCTTACATCACAGATACGGGGAACAATCAACTGAAGCTAAGAAATCTTAGTTTGCCCCCAGAAGGAAACTGAGTAATAACTGAACCTGATGGAGAGAGAGAGAGAGAGAGAGAGAAAAACATGACAAGAACTGAAATCCCAGAAGCTGAAGTTCACTTTTTGGGGCAAACATCATTGCTTTCCCCAGGAAGATTTTCAAAAAGGCTTGACCAATCCAGAACTCCTGGTAGAGATAATATCTTTTATTAGACCAACTAAATAAGTGCAAAAAAATCCTCTATTTGCAGGCTTTCGGGCTCATGTACCCTTCCTCAGTCAAAGAAGAATCCAAGCACTTGAACCAAAGCAATTCCCCAATGAGATTGCAGTCAAGATTTTAAACCCCAAGGCATTATGCCTGTAGAGTCCATGGCATTTTTAATGCTCATGAGATCTGTATAGATGTTTGCTTGTTTTTTGTACGTGCAGTTTTAATCGAATGCTGAAGACAGCATCAATGTTTCACGTAATAGGCATTTTCACTAGCAGAAGCATCTTGAAGTTCAACAGGTTTTTTTAATTCCAAAGTACAAGGCAAATGCAACTCCCCCCGCCCCCCAACAAGCAGAGACAACTCCTTCCTTCCCAAGCAGCACAATAACTTAGGAGAAGAATGCTGCAAAGTCCTTGCATGATTCTAAATTATGCTCAACTGGAGCCAGACACTGAGCACTGGAAAACGGCTTTTTAAAAAGCCTGGTAGCAAAGCCAAGTGTGCTATTCAGCGCAGTCCAGGAGACCCACATTTTGAACAGAGCTTGGAATGCACTTTCCACAGAATAGAAAATCTTGGCAGCCGGGACCACAGCTGATTCTCTTGTTTCTAAAAGGAGACTGCAGCTGGGAGCTCCTCCACAACCAGACTGAAGGCCAGTTCCTAGCAGCAGGACAGATCGTAATTTTGGCAAACAGGGCCCAGGGAAAGTTACTTGATGAGGAGCACCTAGTTCTTTTCAGACCCAGCCTTCTTCATCAGACAGCTATGGCAGGATGAGGAGATGAAGCCAGTCTCCTCCTCATCAAGATGCCCATCTCTTGAAAGGCATTTCTGCAGAAGCTCTGGTGCAAAAGAGTGAGGCCAATGAAACATGCAAGGTCAGCATCCCACACGGACAGCCACGTTAATCCAGCCTGGTTCATGACCCGACTCCCCTGCCTCACAACCCCAGGCCTGCCCGACAAGGTGGATGTTTATCCCTTATTTGAGGTATTGTTTTGAATTTAAATCTCTGCAGAAAAGGGGTGCGTCTTCCCAAGTGGAACTACTGGACTATCCATGGACTGGGGCTCCAAACAGGACAGCCCAAGCAGCTACTGAGAGCGGAGCAGACAGCTCTCTGCACTATCCAGCCCAGTCCACAGAGGTCACTGAAATACATTAGCACCCTAACCACTATCCCGTTTCTTGTAGGCCACTGGTCTTCAACCCATGGTCTGCAGATCCCTGCAGGTCCACAGACTATGTCTAAGGGGTCCATGAAAGAAGACTGTGATCAAACAAAAGCATGTGAATGCAGTACCTACACTTACAATTCAAAGGGGTCTGCAACAAAATGTTTTAGGGATGACCAGCATCTGACGCCACAGAGAAGGGAGATGCAGGGGAGACATGCACAAAGATGGGACAGGCTCAAGAGTACCTATATCCAAGTGCCCAACATCCTGAGTGCCTACGAGCAGGGTAAGATCACCTTTGCCATGGTCAGGGAAAGCAAGGTGCAGTAATCAAGATGACAAGAGTTCAAGCAGCACAGATGGACAGGAAGGCTGCACCTTGGGCGCATGGTGCAGAAAGAACAGGTGAGGTTTAGAGTGGGTCTGGAAGAGGGGACCTTGCCAGAGAGATGTCCAAATCAAAGAGGAGGTCCAGCGATAGGCCTGTGAGACAGAACGACCAAAGTGTCTGCCCCGTTCCCCTTGTTATATACTGTTACAGGCCGCCCCTGTTCTGACTGGCAACTGCTTGCACGGCTGCCTTCATCCAGACCTCTTCTAACAGAACACCTGGAAACATGACCATGTCTGTCCTGAAGCTGACATTTGTTTAAATGCATCAGAGTCTAAAAAGATAAAACATTAACTCAGTTGTTCCTCGTTAAACCCTAGCCCATATGCACACATCCCTGCAAAACATTATTTTTCTTATACCCCCCCAGCAGCTTCCCTGGGCTTTTCTGAATTTAAGGACTTGAAGCATCTAATCATTTGGTTTCTTGTTCCATTGCCCATCTGGCACCAGGTAAGCTTTTCCTGCGACCTTAAGCATCCCTCCTGACTAATCAGAGAGCTGGCTCGGCCCAAAATCTCAACATGATGGCACATCAACTTCTAGCCTCCTGCATGACAGGAGGGATTAGGGGATTAGTGGGAGACCTGGGAACAACGAACTCCTGCGTTCTAACCCCAACCAGGCTGACTTCTCTTATGACCTTGAACAAGCTGTTTATGCTCCAGTTCACCCTCTCTGTGAAAGGGGGATAAGTGTCCTCCCTTCCCTGGAGAGTTGGAACAACGAGTATTTCTACAGTGCTTCCAACGCTGACGTCCAGTGACCCATGCCAGTTCGACGTGACAGAGCAACGAGCCTACAGGATCCTGCATGTTTTGTAGCAGAATTGCTAGAGGAAAGGGACCTTTTCTGGCCCAAAACTTGTTTGTCCTGTACCAAGCCCACAGCAGTCTGCTTCAACAAGTAACCCTGCGCTCAAGTCAGCTCTGGTGCCTCCCTTAGCCCAGCTCAGCATACCAGGTACATCTGAAACAGTCACCTCCCAGGCACCCAGGTAGACTGGCCTCAATCAGCACATCGATCACAGAGCTGCTGAGGCGTAAAAGGTTTTCACAACACTGTGCCACAGTCACTGGCCTGGGGCCAGACACGAGCAATGCTGCATCAAGCCAGCTCTCCTTCTCCCCAGTGCACCAGCTCTGCTGCCACTCTATGCAGGGCTCATGCTGATTTTATGGGGAAAGCATTGCGAGGTCCAGTGGAGACAGAGCACTACAGCACAGACAAAATTTCAGGTGGGGGCATGCAGCGCAAGACTGATTTGCAGAGAAACAACAGTGCATCTGCCGCTCCCCGAGACGTCGATGAGATACACGGATGCTCAGCCCCTCTGTGAGGACACCCCTCCTCCCACGGGTTCAAACCAAACACATGAGTCCAGTGGCTGCTTTGGAAAACACAGACCGGACTCCAGGGTCAGCCAACCTCAGGTTATTTTTAAGTGCATTCACTTTTCAACTGTTGGTCAGCCCCCCCGGCCCTCCAGCAACCTTCACAATAAAAGCTCTCTTCCCTCATTTATTTCGCTGTACCCACAGGCCACCAACACCTCCTGTTTCCTTCACAACTTGAACCATCTAAGACAGAAAAACCACACAAGCATATTTCCAAAACATTCCAACCTCCCAACCACACGAACCTCCCCAGGGCAGCCGATCGCCAGCAAAAGCCTGGCTCATTCATTCGAGAGAAGTTGCAAAGCATAAGGATGAAACTGTCTCTTCCAAGCAAGGGTAGACAGCAAACCCACACTTCACAGCTAGTAGCGAGCTTAATAGCTAACCAGAAAATGATTGTCAACAGAGTGCAGTTACATTTTTAACTCTTCAGTCCTATCTCCAGGAGCAACTTTGCTCTGCAGAAGCTTAGCATTTTAATCAGGGCAGGACCTGCTATGCCTTCGGGACAGCAGGCTGCATAGTCCGGTGGAGCTTGGAAAGCCCGGCTGCATGGCTTCCCCTCTGTTATCATTTCCAGCATTTTCTAGGAGTTTTGAGTTCCCGTTGTTGTCCCACCTTTACGACAAGCTCAAGCTGGTTTCTCCTCTTCCACGTTCAGAGGCCGAGTGAAGGCCAGCGGCCTTTGGTCAGTAACATTTTGCTTACACGAGGCTTGGGAAGGGCGACTGGAATCGAAGCTAGCAGCATAAGTGCCAACTTTTATTTTTGCATAAGAGGACGGACATATGACAGCCCAGCCTCCTGCCGCGGGGAGCCAGGGCCCTTGGGACCCCACGTACCCTTCGCCTCAGGCTAGCAGCACAAGTGACTTGCTAGCCATCTGGTTACCCAAGCAGCAACATAAAACCCCACCTTCCTCCCACATTTAGGGCCGCTGAATGAAAACACCCCCAGTCGGCGGGTGGCACACCAGGCTTGACCCCATGCTGGACTTGAACGCCAGCCCCTGATCAAAGCCAATGGAGGGAAGAGAAGCCCGGAGCATTGTATAACTCAGAAAACACCTAGATCCTGCTTTCTCATTTGCCTGGAAAGTGAAACTCACTGGGAAACGGATCCTCTTCCAGGGATGGCCATAGGGCACCCGGCCGGCTGAGCATGTGGGACAAGGGCATGCGAGGGGGACCGGTGCAGACCTCATCTGTGCCCTGGATAAAACGATGCTAGAAAAATCACTCCTAGGGGCTGCTCCCCACCCCCCAGGGCACCAGGACCCCCAGCTTTGCAACCCCAGGCACCAGGTGCAACCTTGGACACCAGAGCCCCCACCTCTGCAAGCTCCCCAGGACACCAGGGTCCCCAGTTTTGCAGCCTTGGACACTGAGGGCCCCAGCTTTGCAACCCTGGGCACCGGTGCAGCCTCAGACTCCGGGGCCCCCAGCTCTGCTACCCCCCACCCCCCAACACCAGGGTCCCCAGCTTTGCGACCTCGGACACCAGGACCTTTTGCAACCCCAGGACAACAGGGCCCCGGCTTTTGCTACCCCAGGCACTGGGTGCAACCTTGAACACCAGGGCCCCCATCTCTGCAAAC